CATGCTTGCAGAATTCCAGCATTATTCCTTGCTGCATAACAAATGTTTGCTCGTGAAGGTGGCAAATAATGTTGAGAAAACCAGTCCAAATGTTATTCTAACTAAACAAAAATTACCTGAGATCGGTAAACCGATGATGGCAAAAGGGATGTAGCATACTTCTGAGCCATTCCTGCCTTCTGAGAACACCTTACATCGTAAGACCAACTCAGATTAACTCTATGTAGTAAAAGAGAATGCATATTTGGGAAATTATAAATAAGCATGTACATGTTTCGATCCCAAGATCTCCTTCTCTGAGAAAATTCCAGCAAACTTCTTTCTAAAACATGAGGCGACTAGTAATGCCCTGGACCACAAAGAATGGCATTAAGTCAGCCAATCAGACACGTCGAAAATGAAAAAAATTATTCAAGCATTAAGTACCATAATCTCGCTGCAAAAGACAATGAATCAATGAACTTTTGAAGAGGACTTTGGGAGTGTGATTTCAAACGACACCTGCCAGAACAAAATCAGGTGTAAATACTGGATTCAAATTATACTGTTCACACATGTAAAATTATGATTGCAAGCTCTAACCCAGTTTCTAATGGGGAAAATGACTCCACGCGGATGCTAGTCCTAAAGCAAGCACCAAGTATCATCATTTTTGCCCATGGAAATTTTGGATCAACAAAATGAACATTTTTTAGAGTTACCTAAATAAAATAAGAAAGCATGTTAACAATTGATAAGAGATTGTCGGATACATCAACACAGTCACAAAACTACTCCAACCTCCACAAGCATGTCAAAGAAAAATCTATATTACTGTGAAACTGACATCACAAAGCAAAGTGGCTGAGAAACATACAATTGCACCAAGTCTGACACTGTGTGGCACATTGATATGCTGATCTGTTAATAATAATATAACATCTCGATCTATCTCAACAACCACTCCCTTCATGTAAATACCAGTAATGACCCCAGTATAGCTACCAAATTCAGCATTTCTTCTGGTTTCTGCATTGTGAATACGACCTTGATCCTTGACCATAGCAATGTGCAATGATGTTTCATCTGTTGTTACGTGCATCAGTTGAGACTCTTCTTTCTTTATATAAACCAGTCTTTTCTTTAAACCCCTTAGAAGAACTATGTTGCCAATAAACCGTGACATCATGGGATGCCATGATGATGTCGAGGCACAAAAGTACGCAATCGCTGTCTTACAAAAATAATGGTCTTTGACATTAATCTCACTCAGATCTTTCAGTTGCTGTACCAGAAATTTCGAAGCACAAAATTTGCATTGACAGGTAAGAAGACTAACAAGAAACCCGCTAACATTTTTCGAACTACTCTCACCATTTGTGCAAGGAACAACAAATACAGGACTTATGGACTCAATAGCACCAAAAATCAAACAGCTAGTTTTGATTTTATCCTTAACGTCACAAGCTCCAAAATTCAAGCAAAACGGACCCAAATTCGGAGAACAACAAACTTCCCCAGTCCATGCTAGGAGAAAATCCCAGGAAATAATCTCCAGAAACCCACTCTTGACACCCTTATTATCACATTTCAGAGGAATAAAATTCCAAGCGAGGACCTTAATCTCTCTGCCAATCATTATTGGGTCGAAGTCCAAGACGTCACAGCAAATGGTAGCGGAATAATCAGAAAACTGAAAGCAACTGCACTTAATCGGTGAGGTAAGCTCAAAGAAAGAGGGCAGTGTAAGAGCTCCGATGAGGGTGGTCGGCTGATTCAAAGGTTCGAGAGTCTTAGGGTTAGGATCTTGCAGGGTGGCAGAAGAGGGTTTCTTCCGATTGTCATGGCCAGGATTCTTTTGGGGCTTTGAGATGAAGATAGGACGGGCGGCGACGAGAGGTGAGGCGGCCGTGAGGGGGCGGCCACGCTGAATGATGTGGGAGATGGTTAAAGCAGTATTTGTTACATCTTCCATTACATGAGCATATTACAGATTTCGTAGGTTTGTCTGTCTGAGGGAGAGAGAGAGCAGAAGTGAAGAATGAGCAGGCGGGAATACTAAAAGGAGGGGAAATCATGTTTCAATTTGTCAGCTTAAAAAATAAAAATGGTCATATTGTGGAAATAAATGAAATACCATCATTTTAACATGTAAAATGATAATTTCATCCTTAATAAACTAGTACATACCCGCACGGCACAAATATATTAAATGTGTTCTCATATGCTTTGTCCGTTTAAGTATATAAAGCAATAGGATT